AGATTGATACAATTTTGCAATATATAGTCTACAGAAGTGGCATGTAACAACTTGGGGTGAACAACTGAAAGAAAAATCATGTCGCGGAAAGTTTGTAGAAATATTTCAATCAGCTTTGAAATAAATCATGAAAGAAAGCATTAGGTCCTAAATAATTTTGAGTGGAACATACATAAGCCGTTATCATCGATTTAGTAGGCAGAGCTTGTCCGGAGACGTTTTATACACATCCTCCTGAGTGTAAAATAAAAACTTAAAAATAGCTCCAAAGGACATCACGACTTACCGTGTGCCATCGATGTGCAATTCTTGCTTCGTGTAGCTCTGAATCTACTCTTTCCGTAGGTACTTTCAGCCTATACTTGTCCAAGGCGCTAATCTGAAGGGAATTTCAACTTCCAATTTCGATCTGCCAAAATACTGGTTACGTCATTGCCAAGAATGTCCGGAAAAACACTTTCTGAGGAATCGAAGTTAGGGAGACCTAATTACGAAAGCAATTCTAAGAAACTCACTCCATTGTTTAATACGTATACATTGCAGCTAAAAATACAATTATTATAGTTTACACTGAGCATTGGGCAAAGATATATGCGAGTCTACGAGATCTACTCTTGGCCATTTTAATCATAAAGATAGGATACATTTCGGCAAACAAAATAAAGTGTTCAGTAAGGGATCGGTTTAGTGAAGGGAAATTTCCCTTCCTCCAAACAGCCAAAACATTTGCTTATGTTATTCATATGTTATTCATATGTTAAAAAAAGCTTTTCTAGGAATCGTCTAGCAAACAAAATGGGGTGTAATTGTTAAAGAGGATCGGTTCAGCGAAGGAAATGTGCCCTCCTGTGATCAGCCAAACATTTTGCTTATGTCGTTCAAATAATAAATGGGAAAACATTTCTCGGAATCACAGAGTCTTCTGTCTTTACAACACAAACATTGCAGAAGAAATAACTATCGCTGTTTTTGTGTCCAACTAAGTAAAAGTAAAGAAATGTAAGGCTTTTGTGATTAAAAGGCCCTTTCCGAGAGTTCACCTGAATCACCTTGGTGCGACAGACTCAAATTCCACTTCTATGAGTGATGATCCATGTTTATGTTCCATGATTTCCGAGAAACGATTTCGATTTAATCAGTGAATACTTTATAGCTCAAAGCAATTTTTTTAAATTCAGACAGGTTTACTTTTTCGTTAATGCTAACTGATAACCGGGAGCTACCAGGCACAAAACATACAACTTCCTTAGTTCCTACTAAGCATTTTCACTTTCATTAATAGGACAGAAAGTTCCRAGTTAATAGCTTGGGAAAAGGCCCACCATTTTCCTCCTWGTTATTCACGCARGTGATACTACTCGCTTGCTGATTGGACAGGAAGAAATTCTAAGAAAGACTTCACTGAATAAGATTACAGCACTTGTCACCAGAAGCCACAGAGTTAAGAGTGAACGGTCGAGTGAAAACTCAGAGACCCAAATTTTTTAAAATGCCGAAGTGGGTTCAACTGAAGATGATTTGCCCCATAAGGGGATGCCCGAATAATGAGTAAGTACAGTAGGAGTGTAGTAAGAAGCGATTGTTTCCATTGCTTTCATTGATGAATCGAAGCACATTTTTTCTCGAATAGTCTAGATGCTGCCCTACTTAAACGGATTTCATCTTTCTCTTTGTCGGGCTTTGATCAGCATCCTCAGTTTTCTGGCACTTTATCATTTTTAGACGTGGCGTAGTCATGGAATGGGCTTGCGCCGCAGACGATACTACCATGTACATTAGCGAGGAGGGAAGACTTTGCTGCTAGTATAACCTGCATAACGACTTAATCATCAACTGGAGGTTTGACTGTGGAGATCGTACGGGACCTCATCGAAGCGCTCATTACCAATCAGCTGATTATGAAGGCTTTAACCACGCGATATTGATGGCAATGTTGCAGGCGACTTGGACCACCGGTGATTGGGCCACGAAGCTGATGCAAAATGTCAAAAAACAGTATAACAGAGATTGATCATCCCCGGGACTAGGAGAGTAATTTTTGCATACCTTTGGTACAAACACTTAAAAACATTGTTAGTAAATACATGCATCATCATTGCAGACATAGTATGCTTTATTTGGACTGTTCCAGGTACGTAAGCGTTATATAATACGTCGAATTATGCTAGAATTTTGTTTGGTTCTTACTTACGATCTAGCGG